CTATTATTTTTGCTGGGAGTTTGCAACCCTATTAGTTAGGTTGTTTAATATTTCTGCTAAATACTCTTTAAAATACCAGAATAGGGAGGACGGTGCAGGTTTAAGTTTATTAGCTCAGTATTGCTGAACTATGAAATATTTTGGGTGCAGTGTATTTCTTGCATACAGGTTTAACAGAATAGTTTTAGTGTTTTGTTTTTTAAAACTTGAGTATGAACAAGATATTTAAAAAAACTGTTTTATTGAATAAAAAAAACACTATATTGGATTCATATCGGTATCGGCAGATATCCAAATTTATGATATCGGTATCAGACATAAAAAAGTGGTATCGTGCCATCTCTAATATTTACATATTTAAACCAGGAGACAGTTAACCATGTCGAGCACTGCTCAAGCCTTTTCATTCAGCTATGCTTGTTTGTTATTAATACAGTTTAATATATTAACAAGCTGCGTTTCTAAGCTCATTAACATTTTTTCAGGGATAATGGACTGTCACAAGAAAACTACAACAAAACTACACAAAGATATAAACATTAATATTTTACTTCTCCATTGTGTTACTGACATTTTCAGAAAACATATGCATATTTTCTCAGTTACCACCTCATGTGTCTCCCTCTTTTCTTGACAGTTCTGAGCCAGTCTGTATATGTGGAATGTGTTGTGATAACATTGACAAGTATACCAGATGCCATGGATTCGTAGGATTACAATTCTTTGTATTGTTGTAGAAGAATGAGCTCAGTGACACTCACCTCACACCCTCGGTAGTTTTAATGTTACTGCTGTATATTTTTAGTATTTTACGTGTTCATTCAGTACACTGCCATCATACTTTTTGCAATTCTAAAAAATGTTTACAATATTTCAGAAAATAAAATGTATTAACATAAAAAGAAACAATTTAGCAGTTTCCCACAATAACTTACGTACGTAGAAGCTTAAACTGATAAAAGACTGGAGAAAATGAAAGCCTCTTAGTGGCATCACCAGCTTCCACAGAAACACAAGTCACACGTGAGGCACTTCCTCATTTCAGGTTCGATTTCTGGGCTTGAGGACCTGAGGATTTTTATCTTATTAGATGCTGTATAATCATGACTTCTCGCGTCTGCTTGCGGCACTTCCATTGATTCTCTTCTCACAACCCTCTGTACTAGAAACCATGACATCAGATGCATGTCGCAAACTTCTCTCTACACACTTTGATGTACTTCCCCATATGATACAGAATGAAAGAAACATACAGGGAAGGGTGAATAAAATGTGGATGTCAGTTTGTGCATCATGTCTCCTGGCTAAAAGAAACAATC